CAATATGAACTAAATATGCATGGAATATGAATTGCACATGCAGTTCTTATGAACTAAATATGCACCAATAATATCAATTAAGTATGCACCTGTTATGAACTAAATATGCATTGTTATGAACTAAATATGCATCATGAATGAACTAAATATGCAACGAAAAATATGCAATAAAATGTGCATTTCATATAGAAAATATATGATGCATATTTAGTTAATTTTTTATGAATATTTAGGTAATTTATGATGCATATCTAGTTAATACGAAATGCATATTTGTTATATTTAAATTAAATATGTAATAATATATATATAATTAATTATTATGCATATTTACTTAATTCATGATACATATTTTAGTTCTTACGAAATGCATATTTAGTTCATGAACAATGCATACCTATTTTATTTGAGATCCAATCATAACAATTTATTTGTGTAATTAATCAATTTAAAATTAAAATTAATTATATAGTAAAAATTATTTGTGTTATTAACTAAATATGCATCTGTTATGAACTAAATATGCATCATGAATGAACTAAATATGTAGCGAAAAAATATGCAATAAAATGTACATTTTATATAATTAATTTATGATGCATATTTAGTTAATTTATTGTGAATATTTAGGTAATTTCTGATGCATGTTTAGTTAATACAAAATGCATACTTGTTATATTTAAATTAAATATATAATGATATTTATATAGTTAATTTATGATGCATATTATTTAGTTTATTCATGATACATATTTAGTTCTTACGAAATGCATATTTAGTTCATGAACAGTGCATACATATTTTATTTTGAGACCAATCATAACAATGTATTTGTGTTACTAATCAATTTAAAATTAAACTTAATTATATAATAAAAAATCATTAATTATTATATTTAATTTAATTGTATAAAATGTATATTTTATTGCATATTTTTGTTGCATATTTAGTTCATTCCTGATGCATATTTAGTTAGTAAAATGTGCATATTTAGTACATAAACACTGCATACATAGTTGATATTATTGCTGCATATTTAGTTCATAAGGATGACATATATAACTCATTTCGTATGCATATTTAGTTCATACTAAGTGCATAGTACTGTATGCATATTTACTTCATAAAAAATGTAGACTAGGGGTCAACAGTCAACGCCGAAAGTCAACGGTCAACGCCAAAGTCAACGCCGGAAGGCAACGATTTTTTGCCGGAAGTCAACGGTCAACGCCGGAAGTCAACGGTCAACGCCGAAGTCAATGGTCAATTGTCAAAATAATATTTAAATAATTAAAATAATAAAAATAAAGAATTAAGTAATAAAAATAAAGAATTATTATTTAAATGAAGAGTTAAATCTTGGCCACACATCATGTACCAATCTAGTGGCTAGGAATGGGTCTCACGTTCACATTTTAAATATGTGTACTGATTGGATCCAATCCCTATATATATATATATAGGGTTGGGTTCACATGAGAATGGTTCTCAATGAAAGAAATGAGAATAAATCGTAGCCATTAGATCGAATGATCTAATGGCTAAAAAAAAGTCAAAATTATAGTTTCATTAAGGGTATTGTAGTAATTATACCACACTCAACTGGACCCCACTCTATATTAATAATTATATTTTCCAACTACCCCCTCTCTCACCTACCCACACATCTTCTCTCTCACACGTACACCTCAACTTCTCTATCACATGTACAGACACACACAACGCACACACCTCCTCCCGATTGACAGTCGTCGGAGCCAACCGTGCACCGCCGGAATCACCCGCCTCAGCCGCCACAGCAACCGTTCCGTCCCACGCCACCTGAACTGCCTCCGCCTTCCACCGTCAACACAGCTTCCAGCCCGCCATGGAAGCTGCTT